GGTGTCCCTGTGCCAGGGCGGCGTCTGCTTTGACTTGAGCCGCATGGATGCCATCGCAGAGCTGAGCCTCGAGGACTTCTCGGTGGCGGTGGAGCCCGGTGTCACCCACAAGGCCCTCAATAAGCACCTGCGTGGCACCGGGCTCTGGTTCCCTGTCGGTACCGTGGGCGTGAGGGGGTCATGGGGCGGGAAGTGACAGCAGTGTAGGGGCTGGTGATGAGGACACACTTAAGGAACTGTGGATTGTGGGGTGTCCACAGGGGTGCTGACTCCAGGGCAGTAGCAGAGGGGGTGCCACGGTTCCTGAGGTGTTGGAAAGGATGAATAGCCAGGACCAGGAATGCTTGGGGTCATGGGCTACCATCCTCTCTGCCACACCAAACCCATAGGTCGCATTGTGACCATGGCCCCTGGCAAGGTGCTGTGATGGACACTCATCTGATACTGGTTCTAGGGCCATGTGGCCCCAGTGCCCTGCACTACCACCCCTCATTTTCCCCCAACCCTCTTATAGGCCCACCCCTTTTGTCCCATTAACTCTCTGTGCACCAGCAGTCTCCAAAGGCCAGGAGTTTTTTTAGGAGGACAGGATCTCCCCAGCCCTGCCACAGGGCCTCTCACTCACCCCAGCAGACACACACAGATACCCAGGAAATAAGGGGTGTTTCTAGGCAAATCTTTATACTGCTGAGGGACTTGGGGCCAAGTTTTGGAGGGGGCTGCCACGTGGTAGCTCCGGGAACCAGCGGAAGCTTCCCCTGTGTTCAAAAGGCACCAATTTCAGTTCGCGTTTCGGTCACAGCTGGTACTGTAGCACAACCCGAGACGTGAGAACGCACACGTTAGCCCCTTCCTGCCCCAGCAGCTCCCCACCACCCCTAACCCCCCTGGGGACCCCTATCCCCAGCCTCCAGCACACAAGGGGACAGTACAACCCATCTCTGTCACTGTCCCACCATCACAGGAGATGGCTTCCACACCATTAGGACCTCCTGGCCACCACGGAGTTCTCCTGAGTCCACCGTAGAGTCTTTCCGAGAGCAGAGCAGCCACAGCATCACAAAGGGCATCTCAAATTGCATCTCAAGTTGCCAGGCACATCCTTGGCTCACCAGGAACATGGCCCCATGCCCTTCAGCCCAGAACTGGTGCTAGTTTTGTATGGAGAGAGGACAGTGGGCAAGGAGTGGACACAGATCCACCTCCCAGCTTTGCTCTGTTATGGGCCCAGCTCAAACCATTCCTGGCCCCTGGGCAGAGGGAGGAGGAAGGGGTATGATGGCTGCAGCCCCTCACCTCTATTCCCACAGAGCCCCAGCTCCCCGGTGTGCATGAGAGTCTCTATGTACATGTCAGCTTACACCGGGTGGAGAGGACTTGCGTGGAGGGAAATGCATGTCTGGGGAAGAGTGGGGGCCAGAGAGAGGGGACAGTGGCCCTGAGGCCATCACATGGCTGCCAGCTGGCCCAGCACCATCCTGAACTGCTGTGTGCTGTTGGCGAGGTCCTTGACACGCTCCACCATGTCCTTGGAGGCGGAAGGCGATGGGTAGTGGAGGGCGGCTGCCTTGGTGGTCATCACAATCTCCTTGAGCATCTCACAGAGGAGGTTGCTGTAGTGCATCACCTTGTGCTGGACGTCCTGGGCCTTGGCCTGGCGGGACAGCGTGTCCCCAATAAAGACGAGCTTGTGGGCACTGAGGATGACAAACTTGCTGTGGGCCACAAAGATCTTGGGAGGTTGGTTGGTGCTGACAGCAGTGAAGAAGGCATCGACAGCATTGGTGAGCGTGGTGAGGTTGGCCTCGCACTGCTCCAGGTAGAAGAGGAGGAGCTGGCGGTCAGCAGGACACAGTGTGCCCCCGCCCCGCGCGGGGCTGTAGTGCTGGGGGGGGCTCCAGTTGGACAGGTCGTTGTCGATGGGGCGCGTCACCTCCTGCTCCAGCCGCTCAAACTGCTTCAGCTGTGGGAGAGACAGGCATGGGGCAGGGTGGCCACTCAGCCAGCACCTGCTCCCCCCTCCATGGAGCCACCAGCACAGGTGGCCATGGCCACCAGCCCCAAGGAACACAGTGAGAGACAGCACCAGCCAGGACAGCCATGCGAGGCTCCTCTCCAGGATCAAAGTGCCTACTCCCCTCTTTACTAGCATAGCAATGGTATGGAAGGAACGATAGAATGCACCATGAGAACATCCAGGGAAGAAGGCTGTGGTCAGACTAGCAGCAGAGGTTACAACAGAAGCAAGACATGGGGCCCTGTGCATAGCAGCACCCACCTGCCTGCCCCAGTGCCCTTACCTGCTGGTGCTCCAGCTGGTCCTTGCTCTGCCGGATGATGTTGCCTTTCTCCAGCAGCTCCTTCTGGGTCTTCTCAAACTCCTCCTTGCCCTGCAGGGGCATGACATGGAAGGGGTCAGCAACATCAGCCTTGCCACAGAGCCCCCTGGCAAGAGAGCCCCCCCCCTGCCCTGGGGCATCCCTGGTCCACAAAGCCCTCAAGCTGGAGGGTAAGAGCAAAACACAGGCAGAAGCAGAGCTGCTTAATCGCCCTGGTGCCAGAGAGCCACCATCATAAACACTCCCTGTGGGAAGCAGCCCCCATACCCATGCCCACCTGGAGATGCACATAGTCATAATCCTCCATCCAGCCGCTCTCGCTGTTCTCGTAGGGCCCGTCAGGTGACTCCTGGGCCAGCAACTTGGGAGGGGAGGGCAGGGGCCGTGACTGGATGCTGCTGGCCTTGTCGGAGGGGTGAGGGGGCCCATGGCCACCACTCTCCACCGCCGGCTTTGTCCGTTTAAAGAGAAGGGAGGCATTGCCATGCAGGAAGGAAGCCAACTGCTTAGTGTCATCAGGAACACCACGTGAGTGCATGATGAAGTGCTCCAAGTCGTCTGTGCCCGGCTTGCTGCTGGCCAGAGCACTGGGGGCCCAGTGGCAAGCGTCCAGCGCTTGGCCGTGCCGTGCCAGGGCCTGGTAGACCTCTTCCATCTTCTGCAGCTGCTTGCTGAGTTTGGTGTAGAGAGAGCGGTCAGAGGCCTGGGCAGCATTGCCCACTGCCCCCCGGGCAAACTCCAGAAGGTCCCGGAGGGCCGTCCGGACGCCCTCGGCTGCCCCACGGATGTTGGCAGCATTGGCCTCCATGTGCTCGGGGCTGCGCCAGTTGGTGCTGATAAAGGACATGAGGTAGGAGACAGCGCTGCTGACGCCACTCTGGAGCTTGGCCAGCGTCTCCATGGCGGCATCCAAGTCCAGGGAGAACTCCTTGCCGGCTCCCTTAGCCGGCTCCTTCACAGGCACCACGTCCAGCGAGGATGTGGAGATGTTGCTGCGGGTGCTGCCTGTGCTGGAAGCCGAGAGGCGCTTGGCATCAGCACCCTTGGCCTCACGGTCCACTTGTGGGGGGACGTCATAGATGTACTCGCCCTCTGTGTCCACTGAGCCCTTGCCCGGGGCGTGCAGGTCCCGAGGCACATCGTACACCTCCTGGGAGGGGAAGCTGGATCCCCCCAGCTTCTTGAGGCTGGGGGGCACATCATAGATTTCGTGGGAGAGTGGCAACTCAGGAGCACCTTTCCCAGCTGCCGGGGGCACATCGTAGACGTCCTCTGGCAAGTAGGGCTCCTGCTGGGCCAGGATCAGGGGGTGGCGGGAGGGCTCGAAGGCTTTCTGCTTGGCAAAGGCAGGTGGCACATCGTACGTCTCCTCCCGCGCCGGGCCATCGGGCACGTCCTTGCTCACTGAGGGGGGGACATCGTACACCTGCAAGGGCAGAGCAGTGGCACCATAAGCACTGCTGGGAAAGCTGGCCTGGGGTGGGCATGTGGCTGCCCTGAGCTGCAGGGCACGCAAGTGCCAGCACTGAGCATCCAAGACATCACTGGGTGGGCACTGGGATGAAGCCATGCACCCCAGGGATGCCCCTGCCCTTTGGCACAGGAATCAAAAAATCCTAGAGCAGCTCAGGTTGGAAGGGACTTTGAAAAATCATCTGGTCCAACCTCACCCCCTGGATGTGAACATCCAGCAACCCATTCCTTGGCATTCTGAAAGCCTCCAGTGCCAGGGACATCACCACATCTCTGGGGAGACTGATTTAGTAAATTATTTTTCTCCCTGTAAAAATCTGTTTGTCATTCTTACACAATGAAGCTGGGAGCTTTCCAGCAGCACTTACAGTTTGGTGCAAGTTCTTCTCCACACTGGGGGGCACATCATAGATCTCTTGCCCCGGGTCCTGCCCATTGGGACCCTTCACTGCCATGGGAGGAGTGTCATAGACCTGAAGAGGGGGAACACAAGAGGATGTGTCAGAGAGATGGTGTGGTCACCCACCTCCTCTCAGGGACCAGGGAATGGTGGAGGTGCTCAGAAGTGACACTGAGGTCCATAAAGCATAGCTCTGGGTGCAATTTAGCCTGGTATGGATCTCATGCTGTGACCCATTCTTAGGGGCAGATCCAGAGATTCCCCCCTGAGACCCACAGCAGCCTCACCTCCTGGCTGAACTGGCTGGGGACCCCTCCTCGGACAGGTGGCACATCATAGATCTCCTGGGAGCCCGTGGAGATCAGGTGGCGAGGGAAATCGTACTCAACCTGCTCACCCTTGGGGGAGTCATAGACATACACCTGGCCCACACGGGTGGGCACCAGCACCTGCAAAGAGGGAAAAGACATGATGTGGGCACTACCGAGCATCTCCCACCCTGCATCATTCCCCAAACCCAGCACCAGGACCAGAGAGAGGATGGTTTGGATTCCGCACTGGATTGCCTGGAATCAGGGTCGGCCCGGTGCCACGGGAGGGCGCTCCCCGGCCGGGTGTGTGGC